TCTATGAAATATTTTCTCAAAGTACAGAAAGCATGACATCATAAATGTTATTTATCAATAATTTTTATTTCAAAAACTTGGCAAATATATACACACTTGTATTATAATATATTTGGAGTATTTAAATTTTGAGAAATACTTGTATTTAGCACCCAAATTATAACTATTTGGTAAATTATGAATTTACCTTCTTTGGTTTTTGCTTTTAGCAAAATTATCCTACTTTGTGATCATGTGTATTGTTGGTTTAGGGTGTATTCATAATAATTGAAGTTCTTTTTTTTGTTTGAATTTTTCAATCCCAGACTGTTAATGTTAATACAGAATATCAGCACTGAGAATAGTGAAGAATCTGTTGTTAAGATATCCTGAAAGCTGGTATATATGGTACTATTACATTATGTATTAGGCTTTCAGTTAAATTATTATGTGGTAGAAATATTTGTATTATGAAAATGAGAAAAATTTGTGTGTGATGATTAATAAAAGTCTCAAGCTGAATGTTTAGACAAGGTTATAAGAACAAATATAGTTTTGGATCTCATTACAGGAATTTTAATTCAACCGTAATGAGATTATCAGATTTATGCAAAACTTTGGTAAGGCCTCATTTAGAGTATTGTGTTCTGTTTTGAAACACCTGTTACTAAGATATTGATTTGTTTGAAAAAGATTAGAGAAGAGCTAACAAAGTGAGTTTTATTGTGAAAAGTATAAGTTATGAAAAGAGAATCAAAATTTTTATTTTTTTTATCTGGAGTGTAGAAAAACTAGAGGTGACCTGATTCAGGTGTTTAAAATTGTTAGGAACTTAAATAAACTGACCATATTAGGCTTGTTGAAATGATGGAAGGACGAGTTTGGGATGAAACCCTAAATATTAGAAGGATTTTGTATTGGTAGAACAAGGGTTTATAGAGTTTGCAGGTCGGAGGAGGAGTTGGGGGCCATTCTAATTAAAGTAAAAGCAATAGATAAAGAGAAGTTTAAACTGTGGGAAGTAACAGCAGGATTTCAAAAGGAAGGGATACATAAGCTAATAATGACTTTCAGTACTATTAGGGCTAAAACTAGTAAAAGTAGTGCATTTAATTGTAATGAGCATGTTCTGTTGAGCAACAGATTTCATCCCTTGACTTGTGCAGATGAGGAAGTATTAGAGGGAAGAAAACAAAAGGAACAGAGAAGGATGTGAAAGATAGACTTAAGAAGTTTATAGTTATAGATTATTCTTTGACAAGGTATATGGATAGGATAGTCTGTGGGGTAAATAAGGAGAAAATAATTATATTATGTTACCCAGGGACAAGGGTGGAGGATACAACTGATAGAGCAAGAGATGTAATAAAGGGAGCTAGCAATGATGCAGTTTTTGTTGTGCATGTAGGGGCTAATGATGTACGGAAAGGTAGATCAGATGAGCTAATTGATAACTACAAAGAGTTGATAAAGGCATTTAAAGAAAAGGGCCATAACATAATAGTGCCTAGAATTAATTGTGATGAAAATTATAAGTAGGTCACTAGGGCTGAATGCTAGGCTTAGGTTAATATGTAGGGATGAACAGATTGGCTGGTTGGACTTGTGGGATCAGTTTAATAGAAGTGAGCTTTTTGAGATGGATGGTTTACATTCAAATAGGATAGGGGCTGGCTTGTTTACAAGGGCTATTAACTCATTTGTAAGAGAAGTTTTGAACTAGGACTAGACAGTAGTGAAGACCAGGATAAACTAAATGCAAAAAAAATTAAGATGTAGAGAAAAAATTTAGCACAGAAAATGAGTATAGAAGTGGTTTTAAGTGTAGGCTTAATTGTTACTGTTGTAATGGCAGAAGTATGAGAAGTAAGATAGATGACTTTAGAGCTGGTAGGAATGTAGAATTTTGATATAATGGGAATAACTGAAACATGGTTAAATGTAAATGATTTTGATGACAGAAGTTTCTTTGAAATACAGGGTTATAGGTTATTTAATAGGGATAGAGTACTAAAGAGATGGTGAAGAGTGGCTTTATATATAAAATGTGAGTTACATCCTGTTGAAGTTGAGGATATAAAAGATTATAGCAAGGAGATTGAATCCATTTGGGTTTCTATTAGTGGATATAGAGGGAAAAAGGCTTTTAGTGGGAATTTGTTACAGATCACCAGATGATACTGATGACATTAATGAGAAACTTTATAGTGAGATTAAGATTTCAGCTGTTAATGGGGGTCATAATTATGGGTGATTTTCATTTCAGGCATATAGATTGGGAAATGTTAGAGTCAAACTATGAGGGAGAAAATTGTTTGGAAATTGTTCGAGATGGTTTTCTTCACCAGTTGGTCAAGGAACATACTTGAAACAATGCCATTTTAGATATATTGTTAACTTCTAATATAGAAATGTTTGAGAGGATGGAAATTTGTGGAACATCTGGGTGCACATGATCATTGCTCTATTAGGTTTGATGTTTTGCTACAAATGGAGATCAGGAATAATGATAATTTGTAAGATGGTTAATTAAACACACTTATCAGGAAAATCATAAGATGAAAGGATAAATTTTCCTTCAAAGATTTTGTGTTAAAAAATAAAATATTTTTATACCATTAGTGAAAAACATGTTGTATTTATTACCATTGTAAGCTTAATAAGCTATAATTATTTATGATATACTGTGTGTTAAATATATAAAGTAACTAAAAAAAACAATTGCTGAAAAATGTAGTAACTGTTTAAGATAAAAGAACCTAATCACAAGGTTTTGTTTGAATTAAAGATATTTGTGTGTGTGTTTAAAACTTGTATAACATGGTGTTTTATTATTACATGCAACTATAAAATTACAGCATTTTATAGTGATCAGTGGACAGTATTCATTCTACATGTACAGTGAAAAAGCTGGAAAGTTTTATAATAAAGCATTATTAGCAAGTACACTGGAAGGGCTTCCTCTTGTAGATAGTTCATACAAACACATGTAACATGACAAAGTTTTTCCCAAACACATTTGATAGTCAACATGAATGGCTTCATAATGTTCACAAAGTGTGAGTGACTCACAAAACTACATTCTCACAAATATCACAAACATTTTTCTACATAATGAAATAATTTCAAGGAAAAAAAAAGCTATAATGCTGAAAAATTTGTTTCCTTAAAAGTTCTGAAGATGACTTACTTATTCATGAGGCAGAGACAGAGAACAATATACACATTACATGCACCCATGTTCACTTAATAACACATCAAATCAAATCCATATACGAGTTGCAAATGAAATGAAACTGAGTTTTATTAAAATTAGATTATTCAAAATACTGCCAGACATTAACTCCTTTTAACATAAGTATGAAATTATCTATAACAATATGAAGAGATACATAAGACTTACCTGGTTCATCAGAGCCATCTTCACAATCACAGTAGTCATCATTTACAAATTTAAAGGGAACTGTTTCAGAACCATCTAAACATGTAAAGTCTTTACTTGGGTCATAAAAAATCTTCTCTGAAAATTAAAAATTCACTTAAGCAAACACACCGAGTCATTACAATAGTGTAATTCAGCATGGGGTTGGTCTAAAATATAAATATTGAACATCTGCTAGAATTATAGTTTTTTCCTTACCACTAAAATTATGAATTTTAATGAAAAGAATAGAGGCCCAGTCTATTCTTGGATTCAATGCATTAGTAAGTCAAGTCTGTTCTCTGGGTATTCTCCTCCTCATTAGCAACTCTGGATAAGGAAAAATCAAAGAGCAAAACTAGACCTGTTGTTACGATGAACTGCAGACCAAGTGTATGATAGTTGAATTATCCTATCTATCCTTTATTCATACAAGTCTTTAAAGAATAAATAACATTTGTGTTATTGATTCGTACTTGCAATAATATTCAGTGAATGGATTGTTGGAATTGTGAAATTTGACAAAATAAAAGTTGTTCTACCATTTTGCTGAGTTCGATTGTTTCAGAGAATTCTACCCCCTGGGCAAGAGCAAACCAAAGAAAGAGAACAGGTCTCTTTTGATGGTGAGCTGCCATGAACAGTGGATGAATAAACATGGGTATTTGTGCTGACAGTTGGGCAGTTTAAAGAATGTATGTGCAACCATCGTATTCACTTTTGTTTTGCAGCAAGTTTTGACTCTACTTTTTACTTACCATGTTTCTGTAAACATGTCTGACTTTTTTATGCCATTTTGTTCACAAGTTGTAGAATATTAATATAAACATGAGTGGACAGGGTTACTTTTGTCAAATTTTCAATATATTAGCCATTTTAATTAGAAACTCCTAGCTTTTTTTCACTAAGATTTCATGATTTAAGTTCCTTTATTCTACAGTTGATAAATTTGCATTCGTAGGTTTGATAAACTTCACTGTATGTATGTATGTACTTTCTCTCTGATTTTTATTTCTAACAGAAAAAACAAATATGATTGACTATTCTGATTAACATTATACCTTTTTTTTTGCTTTTAATGATGCTGTGTTTATTAGACTTCAGTACTACATTAATAGAGTATGCACATTATTCAATCTTGTGTTTTGGAATCTCTATTGAAAATGTCATAGTCTAGATCAAAGTAATGTTAACGGCATATAATATTGTGTATGTATGGGTTTCTATGATGATCAGATTTAGTATGTGTTACATGAAAAACCTAAATTTTAAATATGAACTGTTTTTCTTTCTAGGCATAGAGTTATTTAGATTTTTGTTTCTTAGAAGCATTTATTGTCATTTTCTAAAGAAATAGTACAGTATAGCTTAAAAGCTGTGAATAAAGATGCTTCAGTCAGAGAGTTTAGCAGCATAAAAACTCCTTCCTAATATATATGTCTTGTCCTTGAATTGTTTCTACTGTCTGCATTTTAAGCTTCAGGTTTAAATTTATTGTGTAGAATTAAGGAAAATTTATATACGAAGACTACAGTCTAAGGAAGTAGAGAAACATTTTGGATTTTTCTGGAATATTAGTTTAAATATATGTATATAATTGCAGGTACAGCAGCTTGCCCAAATGCATTTTTTCACTGTACAAATGCTGGACATAAACCAAAGGAGATCCCAACTTCATGGGTAAATGATGGAATATGTGGTAAGTTGTTTTTTTTATTAGATTCTATAACTGTTTACATTAAAAAGGAAAAGCAGAAGTAGAACTTCAATATAATTTCTTTTATTATCCATTACTTTTATGATAGCTGATTAGTGTCTTATTTCTTCATCTCTGATTTGTTTATTTTTCAGCAGTACTTAGATATCAAAAGGTACATTTTTAAGGACAAAATACTAAGATACAAATATCTTTTGGTACTAATATTTTATTCAGAAAAGTGAAACAGGTTTTTTTTTATAGATGATTTTATAAGAATGTGTACTAATAAAAAAAACGTGTGTGTGAAAAAAATTTCACATTTTTAACTAATAAAATGTAGTTGCAATCTCCATGAAAAAAAACTTTTATCTATTTTGTTTGTTTTAAAAAATCTTCTTTGTATGCTTACTGGCTTACTGGATGGTTTCCAAACTGTGCATTCCATGTAAATTGTATTCTCAAACTAAAGTGTTTCATTAATTACTGTTTTAAAATGGTATCTAATAACTACTTGTTTATTTTTGGGTATCTTTAGATTGTTGTGACACAAGTGATGAATATAATAGTAGTTCTGATTGTGTAAATAACTGCATGTAAGTATGCCAAATCTTTGATATTCATGTATGTATATTAGATCATATGAGCAAGTTATTCCATGTCTTTTATAGAATATTAAGTAAAATATGTTAACCAGTTTAATTATAATTTAAAGTTATCTTTAAGTATTTTTTATTTGTAAAAAGTCATCTAGTCTGAATATATATATATATATATATATATATATATA